AAAAAAAAAAAAGGATAGTAATATTCATCTTCAAGAGTTATTATAGAAATATCTAACTGAAAGATACTTAATTCTGAACTAAGTTGAATGTTGAATAACTATAATTGTGCTCAATAAATGAAATGAGTTGTGACATAAAAATTGCTTTGGTTTCCACAGAGAAAACACATTCATTTCCAGGACACATGAAAAAGTTTGTAAAAATTGAAGACATGTTAAGCCACAAAGGAAGTCTCAAAAATTCTTTTTAAAATTCCAAAAGCTTAAGAAAAGACAGTTATGAAATACAATGTTTATTGTATTCAAAGATTAAAAAGCCAATAGTCTATACAGATAGTTTGATAGTTTATCAAAGTTCAGTATATAGAAATCAATTGCATTTCTCTTCTTTAGCAGCAGTAAAAATGTAATTTTCAAAACTTTAAAAGCATCAAAAATATAAATTACCTAAATATTAATCTAATAAAAGAAGTAGAAGACCTTTATAAAGAAAATGATAAAACTTTTATGAGGACCATGAGAAGAATTTTAAAAATTGAGAGATGCCACATTCTTTAATAAGAAAATTCAATATTGTACATTTTTCTCCTTCAAACTTATCTATAGATTCAATTCAGTAGCAATCGAAATCCTAATTTTTCCCTCTAATTTAAAAAAATTACTTCTAAATTTTATGTGCAAGAACAAAAGCCTAAGAATAGAAGAAACGCTCCTAAAGAGCAAGGAAGTGTGAAATTTGAATTTCGGTGGCATGATATTAGCACAGAGATAGACCAATGAAATAGAACGAGGAGTTCACCAAAAAGACCCACGTATTTATAGAACTCTAATCTAGGACAGTGCTGGCCAGGTGGAGTGGCTCATGCTTATGATCCTAGCACTCTTGGGAGGCCAAACTGGGAGAATTGCTTGAACTTAGGACCTGGAGACCAGCCTGAGCAAGAGCCAGACCCCATTTCTACAAAAAAGAAATAGAAAAAATTACCCAGGTGTTAATGGCACACACCTGTAGTCCCAGCTACTTGGGAGACTAAGGCAGGAGTATAACTTGAGCCCTGGAGCTTGAGGTTGCTATCAACTAGGCTGATACCATGGTACCCTAGCCTGGGGCAACAAAGTGTGACTATCTCAAAAAAAAAAATCTCAAAAAAATGACAGCTGTCATTAAGAGTCAGTGGGGGGAAAGAAGGACTTTTTAAGAAATCATAATGGAATAATCATTAACCAATTGTATAAAAAATAGAAATTAAATGACTACAGAAAATCAAATTTAAAGTGGAACATCAGGAACTCAATTTTTAATGTTAAGTTTTAAGATACCTTTTAGATATTCAAGTGAGTACATATGGTAAGCTGTGGCTATTTCTGAAGGTCAAGGTAGAATGGACTAGACATAAATTTGGGAGTCATGAAGATATTTTAAAACATAAGATCAAAGAAAGAGCTTACCTAAAAAATGAGTCTATATAAAGAGGAGACTTAGAGACTGAGTCCTAGGCACCCTAATATTAAGAAGTTGGAGAATTCAGAGGAATTTACAAAGGAGTCTGAGAAGTAGTGGCCAGAGAGATAGGGGAAACCATATTTGTATTAGTGACCTTGAAAAAACAAATTAGTGGAAAGATGCAAATAAAAGCTTGATTTAAATGGGCTTAAAAGGATAGAAAGAGGAGAATTGGAGCAGGGAGTGTAACTATTTTGAAGAGTTTTCTTCTACATATAGGAATGGAAATGTTTTAAAAGGAGGTGAGAGAGAGGTCAAGAGGCTTTAAAAAAAATAAATAACAGCATGTTTGTATGCTTATGGTGGTGATCTCAAAGATAGAAAAAAAAATGTGCGAAGAGAGGCCTGGAAGGAAATTCTCTTTACGAAGGCTGGAATTTGCAAGAGAAGGGGTTGTCCTTAGATAGAAACGTGAACATCCATTTATAGGCTCTGGAGGGAAGATAATATGTGGGTACAGATGATTCTATACAGTAGATAGACTAGTGTACACTGTGGAAGGTCACATCTGATTGTTCCTATTTTCTTGTTGAAATAGCAAGATGGAGAAGAAAGTGTTTGAGGTTTGAGAAGAGAGGAGAAATTATGAAATAGTCATACAAGAGCATAGGAGAATGATTAGGCTAAAGAAATGTGATTGCCAGTTAGGGTTCACTTTGAGGTTCATGGTTATGAATTTGAAGCAAAAATGGTTATTTTAGTAGCTATTGATAGTAGATGTTATTGATGCCCAGATCCTCTTGGATCCTTTATTACTATTTCCATGCACACCCTGCCTTTGTTGGGTTTTGCTTCCAAAGGCCAACACTTACAGCTGTGTTCTGATGAACTGCCCCCCTCATGCTAAAGGAGCCACTTTTGCCCCTGTTGTAGTACCTGGTATAGACCTTAACCAAACTCTGTGCTGCTGAGTTTCCCGCATGGCTCTACCCCCACCCTCACCCAAGTGGGATCAATCAGGCTGTAATTACCCTCCAAGGGACTTGGTCTGATAGCTTCCTTTTGCTTGACTTACTCCCTTTCCCCAACCTGCTTTCTCTCCCATTCCTTATTAGTTTCCCAAACATTTCCTTAAGTCACTTGTGGTACATAATTTTTTTCTCATCATCTATTTCTCAGGAACCTAACCTAAAACAATAATCATTACTATGCATTTGTTTCTGTAATTATATCAAGTTATAGGGGTGTAAGCAAAAACATGGATTTAACCAGGATGAATCTTTTGAAGTGAGAAAAGAGCAAATGTATTGAAGGTATATTAAAGATAATGGTTATATAATTTACCATCACATTTCAGCTAACTAGTAAGGAAGGACATGGTGAGTAGAGGTGAAGTGAAGGACAGTATAATCAATAGGTTCTAGCCTTAAAGGATTGTTGGCCTCCTGCTGAGGTACTAGCAGGAGTAACCAGAAAGATAGGAAACCAAAGCGAGAAATGATTGAAACTTGAACTGTTGATATTGCTAAGGTGTACATAGAGCCTAACACTTAGAACGAATGGCTGAGATAGTGCCAAGGAAAATAACACTGGAGGAGAAAAATTCAAGGAAGTGACAGGCCTGAGTGTTAAAATGGACATCCGTGTGGATTTTGAATCAATAATTAAGATAGGAGTAGTACTAATGAGAGTAATAGTCAATCAAACCAAAAGCCTTAAGAAATAAGGGAAATGATCTGAGAGTAGGTGGCTGCAGTTAAACAGGAGAGTCACAGGACATGAGATTGAAAGCTGAGCTAGGAAGGCTTTAACTAGGAGGAAGAGAGGGCAGTGCCTGTGGCTCAAGGAGTAGGGTGCCGGCCCCATATACCAGAGGTGGTGGGTTCAAACCCAGCCCTGGCCAAAAAAATAATAATAATAAATAGGAGGAAGAGGAAAAGAGTCTTGTGGCAGGGAGTGTGGAGAAGGCCACAGACCCCATCTCAATTAATGTGAGAAAAACATCTACCACTCAAGAAGCCTACAGAGGAAATAGGGTCCTCCTAGAAAAGTCAGGTTTTAGTTAGAACTAGTAGGTTGGCCAAGCTTAGGGGTACATGCCTATAACCCCAGCATTTTAGGAGATGAGGCAGGAGTTTGAGGCCAGGAGTTTGAGAACAGCCTGGGCAACAGAGTAAAACCCTATCTCTACAACAGAAAAAATTTTTTAAAAAGACAAGGGAGTCAACTGTCAAATCCAGTGATTCTCAACCTTCCTAATGCCATGACCCTTTAATACAGTTCCTCATGTTGTGGTGACTCCCAACCATAAAATTATTTTCATTGCAGCAAAAGGAAGGTTGAGAACCACTGGTCTAGTCGGAGAAGATAGAGAAACTGAAGCTTCATGGTGCTATAAAAGACTATGAGTAAGGGGACTGCTTTGCCCCTCCCACCATGCGAGAAAAGGTGCCGTCTGTAGGAAAGAGGGTCCTCACCAGCCCCCAGATCTGCTGGCACCTTGCTCTTGGATTTCCCAGATGCCAAAACTGAGAAATGAATTTCTGTTGTTTATAAACTACCCAGTCTGTCTACTAAGGCTTCTAAGCCAGAGTTTGGCACCCAGACTCACCTTTCTCCTGGTCTCATTCCCTCAGACATCCGCTGTCACTGAGGGGGAAAGGGAGAAGTAGACCTAGACTGCCACAGGGTTTATTGTAAGGACTCCCTGAAGAAACTCATCTGATGACTCCAACCCCACATACTGGGTTTCCTGTCTGCATTCTAAGTGAATTGATGCTGAGGGTATATTTGTCAAATTCTTCTCTAAACAAGAAAGTGTCCCTAGGCACACATTTAAATGCAAAGATGTCATCTTTGTTAATGGAGACTGGCAAATTAAAAACTCCGCCTCTTGGGTTATAGATCAACACATTTCTTTTAGCACCACATGTCTTGTGTAGGTTCTAAGCAATAATTATGACCATTGGCTCAGTGATGTTTTTTATATTGAGGCCATCAATGGTTCTAGACTATTTGAAGGCCTGAGGCTTGGAGTAGTTGAATTCAGCCAGCACTGTGTTGACAGTGTTGGTGATGATCTTCCCAGGCAGGTGGGTTTCTGCACTTGGGGAGAGAGGTCTTTATTAGAATCATGGTAGATATTCCCTCAGAATAGAGGCTTTTAGGGGGTTGGGGGGGGGGGTTGGTTGTATTTTGAGGATAAAATTCATATAACATAAAATTTACAATTTTAACAATTTTAAAGTGTACAATTCATTTGTTTATGGTATATTCACAATGTTATGCAACTACCACCACTATCTAATCCAGAACGTTTCCATCACCCCCAAAAGAAATCCCATATCTCTTGATTTTTTCCTCTTTCTATTCCCTGGAAGCTACTAATCTACTTTCTGTCACTATGGATTTGCTTGTTCGGAGCAGTTCATAGAAGTGGCATCACATAATATACAGTTTTTTGTGACTGGCTTCTTTCACTTCATGTTTTCAAGATTCATCTATGTTGTAGTCTATTCAGTATTTCATTCCTTTTTATGGCCAAGCAATATTCCATGGTATAAATACACCACATTTTGTTTATCTCTTTATCTGTCGATGGTCATTCGAGCTGGTTCTGATTTGGGACTTCTGTGAATAGTGCTGCTATGCACCTTCATAGACAAGAACCTATGTCTTCAATTCTCTCAGCTATGTATATATGAGAGTGGATTTGCTGGGTCATATGGAACTCTTGTCTTCAACAAGAAGCTTTTAATTTTCCCTTTATATTTCCTCTGAGTCACTTACAATCCGGAAAGACCAGAGCTTTATACAGGGTAACCATAAAGTTCATGTGCAATTTAAATAGTTACAACTTTGTGACCACCCTGTATATGACTTGAGACCTGCCTCATTAAAAATGCATCCAATCAGACCTTTGGCATTTTTGAAGGTGTGTTTATAAGAGTCATTGTAATTGACTCTGCAGCAGCCACCACAGATAAATGGTCCCACGTCAGTAAAGGCAGCATAGCCTGAGGTGGGGATCATCTCCACTTTCCTATGTTGAAAGGCACTACACCAGATTAGACGGTGCCAAGATCACTGCTCTTTAATCTGATTGCTGGGCGAGGTGGGTCTGGCTTGCTGGAGAAAGGTGAAGACACTAGAACTACTATTGCATTCCATCTGGGCTCACTCTTGTTATTTCCTGATGGAGGGTGGAGTCTTGGGAAGAACCTTCAAAAATGTTTTCCCACTTTCTCTTGTTACCTATTACCTCAAGGATTGATTCTTCTCTTTATTTAAGTTGTAGTTTCTCATTTATACTGTGGATTCTTCAAAAGTCTAGTGATTCTTAACTGCCCATATTGCAAGTGAAGGTGTAAATTGAATAGTTTTGGTCACTGGAGTGTGTATCCTTAGTCCATGTGAGAATTTCTGTTCATGTGGCAAGGAAAGCCAATGCCCTGGTGTCTGTGAGTTAGCTGGGACACTGTTGCACTTCCCTGGCCCATTTGCTCACTCTGGGACCTCACTTATCAGAATTCCCAATGTACAGTGCGGCACTCAGGTGCTTCTTACAGAGGTTATTTTTAGAAGGGCAGATAAGGGGGCACTAATCCAGTTGATCAAGCATCTTTTCATTTTTCAACTGATCACTTACAATCCCTTCTCCCTGCCTTTATGTACTTACTAATAAAACATGAGATCTGTGGTCGGGAGGTGGTGGGGTCCTCTTTTCTACCTGTATGGGTCAAAGATTCTCTAGCTGCCAATATGTTGCCATCTGCTTTAATATCATCCAGAAGCTCATGTTGTAAGCTGCTAATTACACTCTTGGCTTTCCACAATTGAGATGGATTTATTTTCATTTCTGTTTCTTCTGACATTTTAGTAGGATTTGGGAAAGGAAAGCATGCCTTTGTAATTGACCTTTTCTTTATTTTTATCTAGATCAGGACAGTCCAATCCAACTTTTTTTCTCCAGAAGGGCTTTCAAGCATATGTATTGAGGAAAAAACCACCAGGTTCACTTCTTCCTAAAGCCCATAAGGTATAAATAAAGCACAGATGTAATGATAATTTTTTTGATGACAAATAATTGCTTTTTATACAAAAACAATTAAAACTGCTTTAGAAAGGCATCTTATGATTACTAAATAATAGAAAATACATTTTATTTCAATTAAAATTTCACTTGAATTGTATCCTTTCTTGTTTTTAAAAAAGACTTGGGGGTGGCACCTGTAGCTCAAGCAGCTAAGGCGCCAGCCACATACACCAGAGCTGGTAGGTTCAAATCCAGCCTGGGCCTGCCAAACAACAATGATAAATAACTACAACCAAAATAGCTGGGCATTGTGGCAGGCACCTGTAGTCCCAGCTGCTTGGGAGGCTGAGGCAAGAGAATCGCTTAAGCCCAGGAGATTGAGGTTGCTGTGAGCTGTGATGCCATGGCTCTCTACCCAGGGTGACAGCTTGAGGCTCTGTCTAAAAAAATAAAAAATAAAAAGATTTGGGGTTGAAATCTAAGACTACCTTTAGTCTATTTATCTTTTTTTTTTTTTTAGAGATAGAGCCTCAAGCTGTCCCCCTGGGTAGAGTACTGTGGCATCACAGCTCACAGCAACCTCCAGTTCCTGGGCTCAAGCGAGTCTCCTGCCTCAGCCTCCCAAGTAGCTGGGACCACAGGCGCCCACCACAACGCCCAGCTATTTTTTTGGTTGCAGCCATCATTGTTGTTTGGCAGGTCCAGGCTGGATTCAAACCTGCCACCTTAGGTGTAGGTGGCTGGCACCTTAGCCACTTGAGCCACAGGCGCGGAGCCTAGTCTATTTATCTTGAACAACACAAGTCCTCATGTGAATTTGGTTTCCTCCTATATACTTAGCTAGAAGTACAATCGGTGAATGAGTATTTTCAGTTTTACTTACTTATAAATGTCATTTATTATCGTGTATTTAAATTATTATCCAATAACTATCGACTTGGTAAATTATTTTAATATATTTCCTATGACAATCTTTTAATCTTTTGATGATAAAAAAGAAAGATTTGAATAAGCATTTTATAATAGTCTCTAAACACTAGACTTATAAAAGATAAGAATTTATAAAAGATTTTTGTTAGGCCAGGCGTGGTGGCTCACATCTGTAATCCTAGTACTCTGGGAGGTTGAGACAGGTGGCAGGAGTCTGTAGTCCTAATGAAGGGTGGAGCCAGCTACTCGGGAGGCTGAGGCAAACAGTCACTTCAACCCAAGAGTTTGAGGTTGCTGTGAGCTATGACACCACAGCAATCTACCCAGGGCAATTGGGTGAAACTTTGTCTCAAAAATATTTTTTTTCTTTTTTTTGTTAAAAACTTTTTCTGTGTTCAGAAAACAGTTATTATCTATAGATTTTTATAGGACAGGAGAGGACAGGAATCAAAGTCCTGGAGAACATTACAAGCACCATGAATATTTAGAGTATTACTGTAATCATGAGTGACAGGTGCTTCCAGGCTCAGGTCACAGGAAAAGGACCATTATGGGGTGATCTTAATATTACAGTGGTAGAAAATATAGACTCTGCCTTTCTTGGTCCCACCATGTTCCAAGAGACATGGAGAAACTTGGATGCTTAACAGAAAAAAAGTTGGGTATATTTTATTAAATGTTAACATGGCTTAATCCCCACCGATATCCCTGTAAACAGCATTCCTTGGCTCTCTTCTTTCATATCTCCCAAGGAGGCCCAGGTAAGCCGCCGTGTTCACACTCTACCACAGTCAGCTATAGGGAGCTGGGGTAGGTAGACAGGCAGTGGTGGGAAGGGGAGAGCCTACCAGAACACATCAGAACAGAGCATAATGCTCTCAGCCCCAGTACTCCCAGGATCTGGAGGACTTTGTTTCGACTTTCTTCATTTTTCCCGTTTCTACATTGAAAAAAGCAATGCTCCCACTGTGCCATCCACTTTTTGCCTCCCTAACCCTTTTGTCCTCTCCCCTTGACTGCCCCACATGCATTTCCTGACACGAAGGTGCTGCTTAGATGTGGGTTTAGTTAATTCCCTGCTCCAGTTATTTCTGCAACAGCTGCTTTTCTGAATCCTCATGTCTAAATGAGCTGTGTGGTTTCCCCTCCTTGGAATGGTCAGTCACCCTTGCCCGAGTCTGGGGCCAGGTGACTGTACATGCCAATGAATCATCCTTACTTAGTCTTCATCACAGCCCTGCTGCAACCTGTGCCCTTGGGTCCTAAGTGATAGGCCCATACCTCTGTGCTGATTAAGAAGGTCATTTTCTTCCCATTATCTTATCTGGGCTCCTGCTTCAGCACCACTTTGCCCCTAATGGCCTACTTTCCCAGTAATTATCTTGAGTTCCATACTAGCTCCAGTTACCAAGAAGGATCCCCACAAGTCTCTTGGAAAAAGGAGCTTCCTTTGATCTCCACTAGGGGCGGATACTTTTCCCTTCCCACCACTGCCCATCCACCTGCGCCAACCCCCTATAGCTGACTGTGGTAGTGTGCTAACACAGAGGCTTACCTGAGCCTCCTTGGGAGACATGAAAGGAGAACAAGTCAGTGAGCAGGGAACTGCTGAGAACAACAGAGAAAGGGATATTTTATAATAAAATCTGTGAAATATTTGGCGGGGCATGGTGGCTCATGCCTGTAATCCAAGCATTCTGGAAGGTCAAGTCAGAAGGTTCACTTGAACCCAAGAGTTTAAGACCAGTTTGGGAAACAGTGAGACCCCCCTATCTCTATAAAAATAAAATAAAATAAAATAGCCACATAAGGTGGCATATGCCAGTAGTACTAGCTACTTGGATGGAAGGCAGAGGCAGGAGAATCACTTGAGCCCCGGAGTTCGAGGCTGCAGTGAGCTACTATCACACTACTGCACTCTGGCCAGCAGAGGGAGACTGTCTCAAAAATAAAAAAATCTGTGACATATTACAGTAAGAAATTATTGTCTTTATATTATGAGAGCAAAAATTAAGCCTCATGCAGGTACCTATCTATCTATCCTAACTAAACTGTCATTTTTTAGTGCTGGTCTAATTTATAATTATGATGATTATACTAAGACTAATGTTAAGGAAATTATTAATATATGCTCTTGAGTTTTTGGTTGACACTGTTTTACAATTGGTTTCTAGCCTTAAGGTTAGCTCACAAATAGTTATTACATTTGTGTCTCTGATTTTTAATAGTCCATTATCCTGTTTAGATTGATAGAGAATTTAAAGTTCAGAAAGCTTTGTTCTCTATTGGATTTCCTGTTCCCAAGCCTATACTGTACTGCAGTGATGCTTCTGTCATCGGAACGGAGTTTTATGTAATGGAACATGTGCAAGTAAGTTAACAATCTTATTCTGTTGTTGCTTTTATTTTTAATTAGGAAGTTAGTTATGATGCTTTATTAGATCAAGTTTTATTGTAATATTAACTAATTATGTAGTATAGTATTCTATATTTTAGGTAATTAGTTTGCTTTGCAAAGGCTACAAGGTTTGTTTTAATTTGAGCACATAATGAGGGAGGGAGGAAATAGATCAGGAACAAATTTAGTAATGGGTGGCTCGGCGCCTGTGGCTCAAGCAGCTAAGGCGCCAGCCACATACACCTAAGGTGGCGGGTTTGAATCCCCAGCCCGGGCCCACCAAACAACAATGATGGCTGCAACCAAAAAACGGCCGGACGTTGTGGCGGGCACCTGTAGTCCCAGCTACATGGGAGGCTGAGGCAGGAGACTTGCTTGAGCCCAGAAGTTGGAGGTTGCTGTGAGCTGTGATGCCATGGCACTCTACCCAGGGGGATAGCCTGAGGCTCTGTCTAAAAAAAAAAAAAAAAATTTAGTAATGGGTGCATATTGACTTATTCTTAAATTTTCCTATAGGTGGCAGCAAAGTATTGGCAACAACCAATAACCATAGGCAACAGGGAAAACCAGCTCCAAGTAAAATGATCAAGCCATTAAGAACAATCAATTTCAATTGTTTTTTAAATTGTTTTTTGTAAAATATAGTTTGAGAGTAGTTTTGGCTTTTAAGTTCATTGTGACATATCCTTATATTTTCCTTCTGGCATGCACGTTCTAATATCAACCATGTTTCAGAAATGAATGTTTTTCTAGCATATTTTACAAAGTATAAGTTTTGGTTGCAAAACATTTAAATTGTCTATTTTAATAACTTCCCTAGGGTCGAATATTTCGTGATTTCACAATTCCTGGAGTTAGCCCACCAGAACGTTCGGCCATATATGTGGCCATGGTAGAAACCTTGGCCCAGTTACATTCCTTGAATATACAGTCATTACAGCTGAAAGCATATGGTATAGGAGCTGGGTACTGCAAAAGACAGGTAACGTATCCACATAAAGAGCTACATTTTTTTCGAGTTCTTGGAAAAATAGACACTATTAGTCAAAATAAAAATCTTGATTGTATAGTTTCTGAAATTTAGCTATGACTTTTGACTTTATCCTTCATATTGATTTGTAGTTAGCATTAAAAATGTTTCTATTTTTAAATCAGGTGTTGTACAGCAAAATCTTCTGTTCCCGAACCTTCACTTATTTTTCTGTACAATTTTCCTTTCTAAATTGGGCTAGCAGACATGATTAAGCTTGACTGCGTATTAATGCCTGCTGAATACTGCATTAACTATCAAGAAAATGAAAATGGGTTCTTCCCCCACAGAAATTTGTGGTCATTTTTGAGAGACCTATATATGAATCTCATATATAAAAACTTGAATATGGTACAACATAGTATAAAATCTAGTAGAAAATTTTTTTGGTGCTCATTGTAAGATCTGTGGCATTCAGAGAGTGGAAATTGGCATGCCTTGCTTATTTGGGGAAAGCTTCCTGGGAGAAATATCTTGTAAAGAGTATTTAAGGACAGATAAAATTTCAAATGGTCAGGAAGAGATGGTGAGCATTTCAAATCCAAGAAAAGCAAAACTAGATATGTATCGGGCTGTTTCCCTTTGTAAACTTGTCATTTTGCAGGAATTGAAGAAAAACAAGGAAACTAAGGTTTTGAGAATACTTATAATATGCCAGGGCCCACACCCAAGGAATTGTGGACCTTCTTTTTTAATCTTTGCAACAACCCTAAGACGTAGGTATTATTACTCTCATTCTGCAGATGAGGCTTACATAGATCCAGTAATACACAAGTGGCTGGGACACAATTTAAACCGAAGTTGGTATGATTCCAAAAATCGAGATATTTGCTCTTTTGCACCAAATTGAGCAAAGATACCTTGGGAAATGGAGCGAGATACAAAGAGATAAATAATATTGTTGGAGGACTTTGAGAGTAGGTTGATTTGTTTGCATTCAATTCTAAGAACAAAAAAAAAATCTTTGCATTACTTATACCTATATTATATTAAGAAAATTCTATGGATAATAAGAAAAGGTATTAAAATAAAAAGTAAAACTCTTTTTTCTTTTTCCAGATCCCATATTCCCTTTTTTAGGGCTCACTTTTTTCTTGTGACTTTTTCCAGAAATTGTCTGTGCCTATTTGTGTATATGTATGTGTGTATGTGTCTTTGTGTGCATTTTTGTCTTCCACAAAATAGTTGCTGAATAAAGCAACCACCTCTCTTGATGCCTAAGCCAGTATTTTTTTTTTCCTGATAAAAAGCTAGGTAAGTAAAATGAACTAGATGGAAGAGCCACTTAGATGTTTACATTTTTAGGCTGGTACGTGTATTACTGTTTTAGGCTGACTCGAGTATCCCTTGTCAGTGATCTTCAGCATTTAGTAGTAAAACGTGATTTGATATAATTTAGGTTTGTTTTGATTTTAGAATTACTGGATCTTAACATTTATTTCAATTTAGCTCTACCATTTTTCTTATTTAAATATCTTTAGATATCCACCTGGACAAAGCAGTATCAAGCTGCAGCTCATCAGGACATCCCTGCCATGGAACAGCTATCTGAGTGGTTAATGAAAAACTTGCCAGATAAGGACAATGAAGAAAGTTTGATTCATGGAGATTTCAAACTAGATAATATAGTTTTCCACCCAAAAGAGGTACTATAAGCCATGTTTACAAGAATTTAAGTAGATCTGATCTGAGATACAAGTACTAAGTAGATATTCCTCCCAGAGCATTGAATGAACCCAACCCATCTCCCTTCCTTCCCTATAGCTCAGAACAGTCTTCACCACTCAAAACTTTGCCTATAATCCTAGCCCTTTGGGAGGCCAAGAAGGGAAGATCCCTTGAGCTCATGAGTTTGAGACCAGCCTGAGCAAGAGTGTTTCTACTAAAAATAGAAAAATTGCTGGGCATTGGGGTGGATGCCTATAGTCCCAACTACTCAGGAGTCTGAGGTAGGAAGGTTGCTCAAACCCAGGAGTTTGAGGTTGCTATGAGCTAGGCTGACTCCATGGTATTCTAGCATGGGCAACAGCGTCAGACTCCATCTCAAAAAAAAAAACTTTCAGAAACAAGTCCTGTAAATTTTCAAGTATGGGTAACTACCTACCTTTAAGTCTAGTTATACTTGCATATTGCTGTTTTCTTCAAAGAAATTTTTTATCTACTTAAAATACTTAGCTTATAAATGTTCTTATGCTTTCTTCTGGTTCATTTACATTTTTTGTTTTTTCTTATCCTATATGATGAAGAATTTTTAATTTATTATTAACATAAACTCAGAGAAGACAGAATTCCAAAAGCCTCTTTGAGACTTCAAAAGAATCACATTAGATGAATGTCACCTTGCTCTGTGTAAATGTACACAGTGTACTCTTCAGAAAGAATTCTAACTTTCCACTGTGCCCAGAGAATGAGGCCTCACATTACAGTATAGTAGGAAGGAGGAAACTTCTTCAGTTCTCTCATTAACTCTATGTCTTTGGCAAGCCACTTGGCACTTAGTATTCCTGCATAAATTAGGAGATTTCCAGTTCCCCAAATCCCACTTCTCAGAGGAGGATTTTCCACATTCATCAGTTTTCTCAGAACGCTAAGATATTTTAGGACAAGAAGAGCAGCTCTAAATTTAAGTGCTAAGTTTCTGGGTTTTATGTTCTTTCTCTATAGGAAAAGGATGGAGGGAAATATCATTATAAATTACATTGTTGTCAAAATTCAAAGTAGTATAAATCAATTAAAAGTCCAAAAATAACAGAAAGACATTTGAGTACATTTACCAGCAAGACAGAAAATTTTTAATGGAAAAGTCAATTATACATGTAATTATATATGGGTGGGCATGTATGTGTAACTTTTTTAATGGTACTGATGAATTCTGAATTCTAACTTTGTTAATTATTGACCTTTATATTAGAAAGTTGAATAATGCTCATTTGTAACCTGGAAAAATTATAAAAGCATGTATCTTAAAACATAGCAGGATTTGGCCTGTATTATATATTTCACTTGATTCATTGATATCTTAGGAGCCTGCCTTTGAATCAGTCATATTTCTTTATATCTTTTATAACTGGTACTTTTCAATTCTTTTTTTTTTTTTTTTTTTTTTTTTTTTTTGAGACAGAGCCTCAAGCTGTCCCCCTGGGTAGAGTGCCATAGCATTACAGCTCACAACAACCTCCAACTCCTGGGCTCAAGTGAGTCTCTTGCCTCTGCCTCCCAAGTAGCTGGGATGACAGGCGCCCACCACAACGCCCGGCTATTTTTTGGTTGCAGCCGTCATTGTTGTTTGGCGGGTCCGGGCTGGGGATTCGAACCTGCCACCTTAGGTGTACGTGGCTGGCGCCTTAGCCGGTTGAGCTATAGGCCCCGAGCCGTACTTTTCAATTCTTAAAAAAATAAGAAAAATTCCAGACCCAGATATCCTAATGAATTATGTGTTGCTTAGTGAAATGTTTAATTTGTAGGATTAGTCTTAATATGCTAAACGTAATCATAAACTCCAATAAGTACAAAATTATTTTTCTGTTATATTTAATATCATATTTAAAAAATATTTCTCATAAGATTAAAATTATCAAACAGGTATAATTTTCCTTCAGAAAAGCAAGACATTCAATGGTTTGGGAGAAGAAGTTTTTAGAAAAGGAAGTCATTGGCTCGGTGCCTGTGGCTCAAGCGGCTAAGGCGCCAGCCACATACACCTGCGCTGGCGGGTTCAAATCCAGCCTGGGCCCGCCAAACATTTATGCTAAATTTTCATTCCCTAGCAGTACGACCTTGAAGCAAGTTTTTTAACCTCTCTCTGTACCTCAGTTTTTATTTTAATATTTTGTTTTTGTTTTTCCTGTTTCTTTTTTTCCCAAGCTAGAGTGCAGCAACACCATCATAGCTCACTGCAGCTTCCAGCTCCTGGGCTCAAACAACCCTCCTGCCTAAGCCTCCTGAGTAGCTGAGACTACAGGCACACACCACCATGCCTGGCTCATTTTTTAAATTTTTGGTAGAAACAGGATCTCACTATGTTAGCCAGGCTTGTCTCAAACTCCTACCTAGGTTTAAGTGATCTCTAGTCTCAGGTTCCCATAGGATTACAGGTGCGAGCCACCTTGCCTGGCCTAACTTTTTCTTTTGAAACAATTATAGACTTAGAAGAAGTTGTACATATAGTATAATAAAGAGAAGTTCCGTGTATCCATTATCCAGATTCCACACAATCAATCTTACACAACTGTAGTATCTATCAAAGCCAGGAAACCTGCATACCTTCTGAATTGAAGAAAAAAAAACAAATTTCAGAGTCGCTGGGCATGTAAAATAAAGTCATTAAAGACTACTTCATTAGCTGATAGTTGGAACATAGCTCGACTTATTTTATTATCCTCTCTTTTCCATTCTTTTTTGCTCTGTTTTTCTATTCTGTTTTTCTAAGACTGCCTGTCAAACTCTATTCTTCAGAAAAAAATATTAAGGTATAAGTAAATCTTTTATAATCTGTACTAAAAAAACTGGTTATAGGGAATGCAATTACAGGAGACATAACTGTACAAACATTCTGTAATGTTAAGGTTTGAAGGTTTTTTGGTTTTTGGTTTTTAAAACAGCAGGTTTTATTTTTATCAGAAAACACAAGAAATAATACAAAACAAACTTAAATGACAAACCTAGGAATGTGTAGAGTAAGCTAAGTTACTTAAAATACCGTTTTTTTAACAAAAGCACCTTACTTAGCCTCACAATCTCTTGTTTTTTTCCAGTTACTTATTTGTAAAGTATTCGAAGCACGTTTGAGTATTTCAGTAACATAACATGTTTACTGCAATGTTTAAAGGAATTCCAGTTTTCATGGAAATTGTTGATTTTCCAAATATAAATCTTACTGGTAAAGAAATGTTTAAGATTTTTGAGTTTAATGGAAAAACCTGTCATTTCAACTTGAAAAATGAATATATTCAGGTGGTGCCTATGGCTCAAAAGGGTAGGGCCCCAGGCCCCTATGCCGGAGGTGGTGGGTTCAAACCCAGCCCCAGCCAAAACCTGCAAATAAAAAAAAAGAAAAGAAAAATTAATATATTCAATTAGAAACATCCACTGGAATAGATCAACTTAGTGGTCTAGAAATTCATTTTTTTTTTCTTTATGCCTCCTCTGCAATGATGTAAATTGATTGTTCTTACTTTAGAATCCATGAGCCCTTCATGACGTCATTTGACTTTTTATCCTGCACAGCCGCGTGGTCATGATCTGTCATTTCAAAAACTATCTTCTTTAGTTATCAGTTTAACTAATAATTTTTGACTGTGGATGTATGTCAGTATAACTTTAGAGTTTCCTGACCTTAGGTTACTTATTCCATAATCTTCTCACTCCTTGACTTTATATAATTTTTAGCCCTAAATTTGCTCCATATTTTGCTACAGAGTAAAGTCACGAAATCAGGTTAACTGGGCCTGGGTAATATTTATGTTGCATCATTTTATCTAGGCCATAACTTCATCTCTTAGTAAAACCTGTGACTTTTTTTAAAATGACTTTTTCAAATCTTTTCCATTCTTCTCAAACTCTCGAGTTTCTTGTCCCAGCTAGACTCCCGCTCTCAGCGTACGGTCTTGCCTTCTGCTTGATTCATGTCTGTCCTTTCAGTCACTTTCCAGCACAGGCTACGTTCTAGATACTACATGTTCCCTGAAGTTCTCTTGATATTGTTGAAGACATTTCAGCCCTCTACATTATGTCCCTTCACGCAGACTGATAGGGGATATTTTTCCTAGCCTCACTACCAAGAAAGGATTTCCTCTTAAGCAACTAGTTTGTTTTTAATCTACATACACTGTAAAGACTGTGATTAATCACGGTTCACACTTTATTTTCTCTGCTAGAACACTCAGAGCAAATTTTGCTACCCACACTGACAATTACACATGATCTGTGACATTCAGTGTCATGTCATATCTGGTGTGGAGCACCCCTTGTCTTAGAAAATGGGTATGGATGGAAAGGCACAGGCCTCCCACTCCCCAGCCACGAAAAGCTGTTTGGTGGGAAACCTGGCATTGAACTATTCCTAGACCACCTGCTTCTAAGTTGGAGTTTCTGCATAGTAGAACAACTCTCCCTGTCTTTTGAAAGCTCTCAATGCAAGGGTTTGTAAATAAGTACATAAAATAATAAAAGTAAATAAAATATAAAATGAATAAAAAAGAAGAAAAAATAAAAAGGAAAAATTTTATGTAATAACCTTATTCCTAGCTTTATTGTTTTATTAAAAATTCTAAATTATATTATTTTTTCCCTGCTTACTTTGTCTGCTATTTGCCCTGTTGGATTGCATGTGTTTCTTTTATTTTGAAAGGTAATACATGTACATATTAATAGAATTAGTAGTGTAAAAAGCATACAAGGAAAAATAAACCTCTGTAGAAGATAATCAACAAAACTAAAGGCTTTCAGTTGGGCTGAGGTTTCAGAAAAACTATGAGAAATTATTATACTAATAAGTTCTTTAGCTGGGCGAGATAGCTCACACCTATAATGCTAGGACTTTGGGAGGACATGGTAGAGAGATTCCTTGAGGTCAGGAGTTTGAGACCAGCCTGAGTAACATAGTAAGACCCTGTCTCTAAAAAAAAATAGAAAATTAGCCAGTGTGGTGGCACACACCTATAGTCCCAGCTACTCAGGAAATTGAGGCAGAAGAATTGCTTGATCCCAGGCATTTGATGTTGTAGTGAACTATGATGACGCCTGCTCTCTAGCCTGGGCAACAGACCTAGACCCTGTCTCAAAAAAAAAAAAAAAAAGAAAGAAAGAAAGAAAGAAAAGAAAAAGAAAGAAAGGAGAGAGAGAGTTCTTTAGCAGTAGTAAAGTGAACTGGTAAATGTTGATCTCAACCACTCGGAGTTATATTGAACTTTTTATAGCTCTGAGCATAAATAGGTACAAACATAATTCTAATAAACTTTTGCTAATTAACTTATACTAATTGATACAATTTGATGAACCATTAATTTTTCTCACTGGCCATTGTTTTATAGCTTTGTGTAATTACCCAAGAAATAAAAGTTTCGGATATCTTGAAACAATTTCAGAGAAGTTTCCTAAATTTCATTAAAAAAAAAATAAATAAATAAACGGCTCGGCGCCT